ATACATGCCAATGATTCTTTCTCAAGTTTATTCGTTAAAAGCATAGATGAACCCATTGATAATACTGAAGATATTAGCGCAAAAGTAGATATTTCAATTAGGAGATCAGCCACGTCACCTATTTCTGTGCCATCAGCAAAATCATTAGAGGATAATCAAGATTGGTATAAGGACGTTGAAACAATTTCAAATATGGAAATACAATTGGGAAGTAATCCTAACATTAGTAATTTCGATGTGATAGCGAGAAGTATGGGTGCAACTGCATATTCCAATGATACCTCTAATGACAAAAAAATAGAGAAAATATTCAAAGATATTCCTGAAGAAAAAGAATCAAGTAATGTCCATGAAATAACATCATCTTCTATAGATAAACAAGAGGAGATAAATCATCCGTCTATTTTCGGCGAATCGAAGGAACAACTTCAAAATTATCCGGCAGAGGAAGAAAATAAAAATCAAACACAAGCATTATCCGAAAGAGATTCTGCAAATTATAGTCCGGTTTCTGGAGTTTTAGAGGGAAGTGTTACGGATGAAGCTAGAAGTGAAGGAAGTACAGATAGTGGAAAAGGTCAAGTTAAATATTACATATTATTATTATTATTATTATTATTATTATCATTTTGTTTTAATGTTATATCTAATATTTATATTTACTTTACAGGTGGAAGCATCAAAGGACAAATAAAAGATGTTTCGTTATATTCTGTCTATGAATTTTGTATATGTCAGAATTTAGTTGGTAGGCTTATTGGCCGTCATGGTAGTTTCTTACAAAACATATGTGCAAAAGCTGGCGTTCATATAATGGTAAAACGTCATCATACATTAAGAGATCAAAAAATCTGTGTTATCCAAGGTTCAATAGAAAACATTACAATTGCTTTGGATATTATAAGGCAAAGATTTCCAGAGAAAAAATATCCCTCTGTAACACTCGAACAAATTTTGCCCGTGGTAATACCAGAAGAAATACCTGTACTTCCTGAATTAACGCAATTGTCTTTAGTCGAAGGGGTTAATAACGATGTTTTGGTGTGTCATATATCAAAACCAAACAGATTATTTCTACATATTCCTACACACCCGACATACCCTTCGTTACGACTTTTAGATGCAAATATGACCCAACTATACAATTCTACGGAATCGCCTATGGTTACAGACGAACTTACAAGTACGTTGATAATTTATTTATTACAAGATTAATATCATTTGTATCGATTGATATAGATCTAATATTAAAATAGTATAAAAATTGTTTATAAAATTTTTATATATATATATATATATATATATTACTGTCAACAGAAGGAATGATCCTTGTTGCTAATTGGTATGACAGATGGGTTAGAGTATATGTTGAAGATCCAGATCCACGTGGAGAAATGACTTTAGTACGACTCGTTGACCATGGTGGTTATTGGACTTTCCGCAATGCTAACATGAGAAAAATAAGGTCAGATTTTCTTAGTCTACCTTTTCAAGCGATTGAAGTATTTCTCGCTAATTTACAACCAAAAAATGGTAAGTTTATAATGTTATGCGTATATTCATCTTATTTTAATTTATCTTAAATATTGAAAAATTTTTTAAAGGTGATTGGGAACAAGAGGCATACAATATTGTTGGGCGGATGTGTTCAGGAATCATTGGACAGGCCCAAATTGTAGCCTATATTAATACAAATGTGTATATTAATTTTTTCCTTAATATTCCAAAACACGGGGTAAAATACTATTTTTATATCATATCTATAAATTTTTTAATTGATTCGAATTTAATTGTAATTTTTATTTGTCCTCTACTATTTATTTTATATATTATATCTATATTACAGGTGATATCTCTTGCCGATGAATTAATAGCACGTGGATACGCAGAATCTGTATCTTTAGAGTGCCTAGTATCGGACGAAGATACAGTTGTTGCTTCGTAGAAGCATAAATTAATTAAGGAAAGCATACACGTGCTAATAAGAGTGTATGGACATATGTGATCGTATGATTGTGTTTGATTATTTGTGTGAGTGAATTCATTTATAAGTAAAACTTACGAGAGAAACATTATTTTAAGTTTAAACATCTATAAATGTAATATTTTTTTTTTCTCGTACATACTTAAAATAATGGATATGCATTCTTGTTTATCTGACATGATTTTCTTTCATGCTCAGCAACGATGATAATGAATCAGCACTTGTAATACTCTATTATAACATTTCATAATCGATGAATCCTACAGCATTTCGTTACGACAAAAAAAAAAGAAAAAAGGAAAAAAGAAAAAAAAAAAAAGAAAAAAAAAAGAAAACTAACTTATGATCATAAAAATACTCGCATTCAAATTATAATACATCTTTATCATACAGATGCATATAAAAGTAATTTTTCATATTCAATTACATTAATGAAATATAGAAGTTTTATGGTTGAAAATTGCAAATCTTCAAGGCACGTTTCATAATGATGGTAAAACTTTTACAAAGATTTCTTGCAAATTTTAGAAATCGATTACAATTTAATATAAATAAATATATAAATGTAAGAATATCTTTATGTCTATCATGATTATGAGATATTATCTTATTTCGTAAGAACCGAGATAATTATGTGCTCAATAGTCGAATTAAAAATTTATTATATAATAATCAGTTTTACTAGTAAAATTTTGTTAAAATCTGTATTATATATAAGATATACATATTGCAATTCTTTATACAGCACTGAGAACATTTATAACAGAACAACTTCATTTTCATGTCATTATATCTTTAGATTATACAATTTAAAGACTGCTATATGAAAACATACTTAAGATTGTTCACGTTTGCTTTTTCTATAAGCTGATTCTAATATCATCTTGTTTGTATATAGTGTAACATTATACCTTCATATATAAAATATTTATAATGTATCTATTATATAATAATAATGACGGATAGATGCCAGCTAAGTCTGTATGTCAATGGAATGACAAAATCAGAATAGTTTAATTTATTCATTTTATATTTTCCAAAATAAGTGACGTTTTGTGGCATTTCAAAGAATTTATCGATTATGACTTTTATATATATATATATATATATTTAGATAAAAAGTTTGTACAAGAAATCATTAATTTGTTGGAACATAATGATTTCATTGTTCTTCCTTTTTCTTCTTCTTTTTTTTCTTTTTGTTTTTTTTTTTTTTTTTTTTTTTTTTACATCATTATATATAGAGTAAAAATAAGTGCTATCCTTATAAGCGAGGACCGCTGTCAAAAATTGCATAATTTTCATTGCAATATACAAAAAAGTAAATAATAATAATAATTTTGTCAATTCAATTGATACATTTTGTGATTGTATAATTTTTTTTTTTTTCCTTTAATGTCTCGTTACAATCTCTGCGGATTATTCATTAATTAAGTTGTCTAAGTAGCTATTATGAAAATACTAAAGACACATAATTAAGAAATAAAAATTTTTATCAATTAAAATTTTTAATTGTTATAACGATACGATATTTTCCAAATTGATTTAGTTATAATAATTTTTCACATATTATTGGTGTTTTGCGTTCTATGACATATTAAACAAATGGACTGCTGCACGATAAAAATCTGTATAAAAATAAAAATGAAAAAAAAAAAGAAAGAAGGAAAAAGAAAATTTAAGAAAAAGTTAAAAAAAAAAAGAAAAAAAAATTATACAAATCACTTATATATAACTTTTGTACTGCGCTCAGCTGAAAACAATTTTCTGAACTTATATGTTATATGTTAAATATTGAATCTTGTTGATACTTAAAAATATAATGAAAATATTTTTCTAATAACATATTTAGAATACAGTTGCTCAATTGTTTGTATTGCATTATACACTCCTTACATCATTGAGCGTTGCAAAAATTGATATAATATTTTGATAACCCATCAGTGATGCAGATTAAAAATCCTGCATTTTCTTTATTTTTTTTTCTTTTTCTTTTTCTTTTTTTTATGGATTGCGTAAAGTCTATGAAGATTGTATTTCTTTCCATTATTAGTAGATTCTGAAAATCGAGAAATTATTATAAATTTTAATTAAATGTACATATAATTAAATGCAGCATCCAATTAATCACATACACACATATATATATATATATATATATATATATATATATATATATATATATCTTCATTTATTATTATCAAATAAATGATGATCATTTTGTATATATAATTCAATGTAATATCTTTAGCATTTTCATTAAAGCTGGCTCATTTTAATCGAATTAAATTTATTCATTTCTTGTAGACTTATATCCGCATAGATGTAAAAGGATTGTAACAAATAATTCTTGCAAAATTATATTTCTATACTTTTCATTTTATTGTCCAAAGATTTATATGAATTATTATTTATACATTGAAAGGAGTATTTAAAAATATTCAAAAGACCAACGCATTTATAAAGATTTACATTATAAATATTTTCGATTAATAATTCTCTATCGATAATATTATATTATCAAGAACTTTTTCGAAGGATAAAGAAATACAACATGAAGATATCTAATGTCAACAGAAGAAAAAGATCTCTTGTGATATGAAAATTAACCTTAAAAATTATATCTTTTTTTCTCTTAAACGGGATTATTGAAAAAAAATGTTATTACCTTTAATAGGAAAAAAAAAAAACAGTAACAAAACAAGACAAACAAACAAAGGACAAAGAAACTGATATTTTTCAAAGAATACTAAAATTTAAAATCGCTCTATGCATACATATGAAAAATGTTTTATAAAGTTTTAAAAAAAGTCGTTTTGTAACCGTTTCCTTTCTTTTTTTTTTTTTTTTTTTTGTTCACGTTCTGAGCGGATATTATTGTATGTAAATACAAATACCATAGCTCGTTGCACATAACCTGTGTTGACTTGATATCACATTTGATACACATTGAGATTGGCACAAGGAACATATAAACGATAAGATAAATCGAGAAAAGGATTTTTCTTAAGTTCTATTACCTGTCATTGAAATCACACACAATTATTTCGAAGAACTAGATTTTTATTTCGAAACGAAAAACATGGAGAAAATAAAGACTAAACTACTCCAACGATCACTTCTGTACGACTGACTCATTCCCTTACGAGAAAATAAACTACGTCACGTTAATGTCTTCCCTACTCCTCGACTCTCCCCCACCATCAATCTAAATACTGTCGTTTTCATAGGTTACTCGTGTCACGTGACATTAGTTACGTCGTACGAGATGCCTCGTAAGATTTCTAACCTAACTTTAACAATTATTTATTACTACTGTTAATCCATTGTCAGTCTCTTACCTGTAAATTCCTCTTTGCCATCAATATGGCAATAGATCTCATGGTAGTAAGGTAAGAACTTAATTACATAATTACACTGTATAAAAGCTTCGAATCTATAATCAATTAATATTAGCAAAGAGTTACGAGGAATAAAAAATTTTTCCAGAAAGTTTCATTCAAGTTCGATTGCTAAGCTATCTTTTCCTTTTTTTTTTTTTTTTTCTTCTCAAATTTAACTTTAATTCGCTTGTATAATCTCTATAATATATATTTGATTTTAATAAGGTGTGTAATAATATATTCTTTTTCAGCAAAACAAAGTTCCATTTTAAAAGATACATATGTATGAAACTAACGAATATTATGTCGTTGAATTTAATAAAATAATTGTAAAAGACTAAACACGTGTGTGTGTGTGTGTGTGTGTATATATATATATATATGTACATATATATGCATATGTATACCGTATATGTATATATTATCCTTGGACTCGATGTATGTATCAGCTCAGAATGGTTTCGCGTAAAAAGAACGACAGTCAATCCAATATTTTATTGCCGATTTTAGTAAGTGCCTGTGCTATTCCTATATCAATGTTGTTTTGGTCGATAAACGTCCTTTATTCAACCTTCTCGTCGGAATCTAAAGGTTATAACGAGGGTATTGTAAATTTGAATTTTTTTTTATAATAGATAAAAGACAAATATATTTCCCTTCCACATAAATATTTTATTATAGAATCATTACAAATGATATCACCATGGAGATGGTTGGCAGCTATAATAATTCCAATAACATTTGTTTTTTGGGGCCTAAAGAAGAAAAGCTTAGATATATCTGGAGCTATATTTGGTAAAATATTTCACAATATAATTGTACAATATAAGAAAAATATAAAACATATCAAATGATTATGACATGTGGGATTTGATTCTGTTTTATTACACTTTATTAATGTTATGGAATTTTATAGAAAATTTATTTCCCCTTTATGTAATTAATTACTTATTAAATATTTTGTTACAGGACTGTTCGTGGGTTTCATATTGACGCTCACTAGTTTTAGTCATTTAATATGTTTAATAATATTTTTCATTACTGGATCAAAAGCAACCAAATTTCGTTGTAACTTGAAAAAGGTACAAGAGAAAGGATATAAGGAAGGTGGACAGAGAACATGGATTCAAGTATTGTGCAATGGTGGAATGCCTACTCAATTAGCTTTGTTATATCTTTTGGATGTTGGATGTGGAGAACATCCTATTGATTTTGATAAGAATTACAGAAGTTCATGGTTATCAATAGGAATATTAGGTAAATTGATATATTATTGTATATTATTTATTATATTAAAATAATTATAAGTTTGTATTTTTAATTTAAAATCATTCATATCAATCATTGTTAATATTACAGCGGCTTTTGCTTGTTGCAATGGTGATACATGGGCTTCTGAATTTGGTACAGTATTGGGTAGTGGTGATCCATTTCTTATCACAACAAGAAAACGAGTACCACGTGGTAAGTATATTATATTATTTGATAATATGAGAATTAGGATATATATATATATATATACACATATATATACACCGGGTATATTTTAAGGAACGAACGGCGGCGTATCATGGATAGGTCTATTGTTTTCTGCTCTTGGCGGAATAAGTATAGGTTTGGGCTTTTTCTTCACTACATTGTACGCTGTAGATACAGCAACACTAGAGTTAGCAGCACCGCAATGGCCTATTATTATCATAGGTGGAATAGCAGGACTGTGTGGTAGTCTTTTAGATTCTATATTAGGGGCAACATTACAATATTCAGGTATTATATATAAATATATATTTTTATGATATATTTAGAATATCTAATATATATTTATAAATCATATATATTTATAAATCACTTGAGTAAAATTGGAAATAATCTTTCAGGTATAGATAAAGAGGGATTGATAGTTCAACATCCAGGGAAAGGAGTGAAACATATCAGTGGTAGACAGATATTAGATAATCATAGTGTTAATCTCTTATCATCGATTATTATCGCTCTTACTTTTCCTAAAGTGGCAAATGTAATTTGGCCATGAGATAGATCTTATAGAATAATTGTATCATTTATTTAATCATATGACATTTTCAATTTCCTTTATATTTTACTAAATAACTATATTTGAAGATATTGACAATATATATATATATATATATATATATATATATATATATATATATATATTTTTTTTTTTTTTTTTGTTCGTTGAATTTTCCAATTAACCTTCGATGGAAGAATTCACACATACGTCTGAAATGTTTATGCCAAATTAGTTTATTAGAGGTTATCACAATTATTATACAATATGTTTTTCATTTATTAATAGATTGTTTTACTCTCAGGTATATGTTATGTGTGAACGGAATCACATAGAAATAATACTGCACCATTTAGGAGGTGATATTAAGATTTTGTTTAAATTATTCTTAACTATCGATAAAAGATATTTATGCATTATAAGATGTATCTTGCATCGATATGTGATATTTTATTCTTCAATTATGTATATATCCATATTTAGAGTTAAGACTTTTTATAAAAAATTTGATCGATACAAAAAATATATCGTAATTACAAAAATAAAAAAAATAAAAAAAATGCAATAATTTCAGAGTATATTGTTGAAATAATTGTTAAAATTTCTCATTATAAGAATGAATAAAATATATGAAATTTTTTATACGCTCTTCGTTTGGTGCCTTTTGCACTATTACGCAAAATCGAACGTAAGTTTCGTCCTAGTATTAAAAATAGGTAATTTTAACATTTATATGTATATATATATTTATACATATATATTTTTTTCTTTTAATTTTCTTTTTTTTTTTTTTTTTATTTACTCGCACACGCATCATTGTGATACATTTTATACGAACGAATTGCTATGAAATTTTTACTAGCAATGAAGAATTCGATTATTTTCATTATTTTCTTCATTACAGGGGGAAAAAAAAAAGCTTTAATTTTTATATATAACCATTTATGTATCTATATAATTAGAATTATATTAATCACACAGATATTTTCATCACTGCCCATTTGATTTCAATAATAGTTAACAATTATAGAATATATTTGTGATGATATAGATATCATTTATTATAATTATCATTAACTATTATTACTATTACATTCTCTTCCGTTGAAATATATATTACAAATGTTACTATTACTATAATTAACGTACAATCGTGATCCATATATCTTCGTTGAATAATATAGAATTTTCGTAAATACAGATAAAATTATCTTTTAGATATCCATATGTTCTACGTGGTGTATCTATTTATTTATCTATCTATCTATCTATTTGTCTATCTATTCGTCTATCTATTTGTCTATCTATCTATGTATATACATCGTACATAAACGTGTTAATATTAAAAGGATCAGAATGAAATATAATTGTAATTTCTTCTCGCGAAATTTTTCTACACTCTTTCGATAATTATTCGCAGATACATTTGTGTATACAATATATACGTACTTACGTAATTAATATTTTTTATTGAAACTATAGAATCAATTACAAAAAATTAAAATTGCTGCGAACATTAAAGGTGTATGCAAACAACAAAATTGTATGTTATATGACAAATCAAAACGATTCTATTTATTTTTGGCAATGCGTCGATAGAATGTATCAACTAAATATATATATGTATATGTACATGTATATTTATTTTTTTTTTCTATGATAATAATAATAATAATAATAAAAAAAAAAAACAAAAAAAAAAAGAAAAAAACAGAGCAATATTCTACGTAAGTACTAACGTTTGCAATGGCAAATCGATCGATTGATATGCTTTTTAAAAATGATTGCAATTGCTATTGCGATTAGATGTAAATAATAAGTTAGACGACTACGCGCTGATCGAATATTTAAAAATTAACGATATAAAAAATAATGACATTGATATCGATGTAATTATATTTTAATCAGGTACATAATTGTATGTTAAACTTTGCAATATTTCGTATTACTTTTAGCAGACAAAAGGGGTTTTCAAAGTTTCACGAGGCCGCTCATGTAATTTACATAAAAAGAAATGATTGTTCCACATGTTTTATTGTTATTAATATTGTTATTATTATTATTACTATTATTATTATTATTATTACTATTATTATTATTATTTCTATTATTATTATTATTATTATTATTATTATTATTATTATTATTATTATTCTGATTCGGTTAAAGAACATAACAAGTATGCAATAGAATGTAATTATTTATCCTCGTTTTAAACATTAACAGATACATTGCATTTCGTGAAACTATAATATAAGAGAACATAATTATTGACAAGAGTCTAGGTGTATATATTTATTAATGGGCTAAATCGACGAATCAGCGAGTAACATGAAATATCAAATTTATAATTATTTCGTAAGAAACATATATATATATATATATATATATATATATATATATATATATATATATTTCTTACTTACCACAAATACTTTGGGATAATTATAATAAAAACGATTAACAAATTGATATATTTCATCGAACATTGCATTCTCGTCGTTCGTATATTAAAATTTTAAGCTTAATCGATAATATACCGAACGTAGTATCTATATATAATTCAAATGACATTAATTTAACAAATAATTCGCAATAACTTTGTCTACGAATATTTAATCGATATAATTGTCGATCATAAATCGAATTAACAAGTTGATAAAATAAACTATGATCATTTCTTTCGTTAATTTGACAAATGATATGAATAGAACGAGGAATTTAACGTACGCGTATAATAAATTTTGAATATCAAATAATTATAATAAAAATGTTTCGATAAGAAAAATTGTTAGATATTTCGTTTGAACGAAGACGCCATAAACGTCTTCTTTATTAGAATTATTCATTCGTCCAATCGACGATATACAAAGAACAAAGTATTCGTATAATTTTAAATTAACATTAATTAAAATAAATACACAAATAATATAGATCGTCGTCGTCGTCATTATTTTACAAATTTATTGAAAAATCTTATATAAATTTGAATTTTAAAATCGATATATAAATTAATCGATTGTAAATTAATTTAACATTACGACGTTGAAAGAAATAAATTTCATTTTCATTTTCTTTCATTTTCTTTTTCTTTTTCTATCTTTCATTCATTGATTGATTCATTGATTCATTCATTCCATTCATTCATTGATTCATTGATTGATTCATTCATCCATTGATTCATTCATTCATTAGTTATTTGGCAAATAAGAAGAAGTCGAAATAGATCTAAATAAACGTTATTACGTTTTAACATAAGCGTTTACGTAAACGCTTTAAGATTACGATCGATTATAATATTTTTTTAATAATTATCAACATTGTGTCTGGTCAGGCTCGTTGATATTTTCCGTACGTTTTAATAAAACATTAGCGTGGCTGTTGTTGTTGGCTATATTACTTTCACGATGAGCGACCAATTGCATAACGCTTTGTCGTTGACGATCATCTTCTTCATATTTATCCGGTTCAACCGACATCGCGGATTGATAGTCACACCTTCTCCTCTCCCGCCATCGGACCTGCGGTCGAGCGGATAAACTGAAACAGTCAACGTCCCAAAATGGACTCGACTTCGGCACGTTGTCATTGGCACGACACGGATGATTCGTTTTTCTCTTTTTCTCTCTCTGTCTCTCTCTCTCTCTCTCTCTCTCTTTCTTTCTCTCTTTCCCTCTCTCTTTTTCTATCTCTTTCTATTTTTCTTTTTTTTCATTTCTCAAATATATGTATATATATATACATACAAATATATGTGTGTGTGCGTATACGTATATTATTATTATTATTATTATTATTATTATTATTATTATTTTTATTCTTTTTTTTCTTTTTCGTTGCCTTTTGAATCTCTCTCAACAAATGTTTTTTTTCTTTTCTTTTCTTTTCTTTCTTTACGATCAATAAAAAATTCCTTTTATTTTATCTTACTTTATTTTACTTTATTTTATTTGATCAGTGGTATCTCCGGCTACTCGTAATAACGAAGTTACTTTTGACGTTTTTAACTCTTTCCTTTTTTTCTTTTTCTTTTTCCTTTTTTTTTTTGCTTACACTTTTCCATTACAGAGAGATAATACGATTAATATTATCTCTTGATCGGTATAGACACACGCTGATTTTGTTCTTGTTGATTGATTCATATATAAAAAAAAAAAAAGAAAAAAAAAGGGAAGGATAATTAAGGATATAATTTTTTGTGAAATATTAGTTTTTTCGTGTTCTTCTTAGTTTCATTTTGTTTCATTTTTCTTCTCTGTATCGGGGAAGAAAAAAAAAGAACAAGTGATAAATAAATGAAAAAGAACAAGAAACTTCTCGACTTTAATGCTTTACACGTTTCTCTTCTCGAATTAGAAGGGGCAAAAAAAAAAAACAAATTGAATAGAGCCACTTTTTTACGCCTAAAGGTAAATTCGATTCATAAAAAGTAAGTTGAGAGATAGGTTGTTCAAAGAAACGAGATCTCTATTTCGTATTACTCCGAGAACTCATGGAATTGCATATATTTGCATAGAATTCCTATCGATTTCCGTAGATACGAAGTATCTTCCTAGCGATACGAACTTTCTGTTTAATTCGAAACTCATGTCACGCGTGAACCATTTCTACACCACGTAGTAATATGAAATCTAACGAGGGATAAATTTTAATAGAAAATTGATGACTATACTCAATGAAACGATTATATACGTATCTATGTATGCGCGCACATATCGTATATATATTTTTTTTTTTTTTTTGTTCAAATATATTCATATCAATTATGTTTTATATTTTCATAAGAAATATTTCATTTCATTCGAATAAATAAATATAGACAAATGAATAATTATTAATTTTTTCCTATATAATACTTTTTATTTTTTGGCAGTTTTCTTTTTTTTTTTTTTTTTATCAAACAATCGAAGAAGGCCAACACTTCAGTTTGCAGTGAAAAACTTACTTGATAAGGTTGCCGTGTTTCTTTTTCAAACGTATGCGCTGACATTCTTAGTGCATAAAAATGTAAATTTATATGTCTCTCCCAAGGGAATACGGGATATGGTATAAAGAGAGAGAGATATCGAGACGAGACGGCCATCTGTTATCTACGCTGACCAGGATCATAAGAATTCTAGATCGTATATAAGGGATGATATGTCGTCTTTTTATTTTTCCATTAAAAAAATTTTCCCGTTATTAATATATACATATATATATATAATATATATATATATATATATATATATATATATATATATATATATGGACAATCGTGTAACAAAGAAAAATATATATATACGCGCACACGTACACATAAATATACATAAATTAAATACATATTATTTTACGTTATTATATTGAATTTTCAATTTTTTACTATATACTTTGTTTATTGAGGAATAATGACACAGCGTCTTTGGATCTATAAAAAAAAATCTAATTTATTCTTTCATCTCGAAGTTTAATTAATTCGTTAATTTTTATAGATTAATGCGAACCTTGCAATCCGGTTCGCGCCAGTGACCTTTCGTGCATCTATCACTAAGCATGCAAATAAATTATGTTAAAAATAAATTGTTATAATCGTTTGTCTCTTCGATCGTCACCTTTCTATTTTTTCAAAATATTCATTTACGAAATGATTGCGTCAAAACAAAAAAAAAAAAAACAATAAAAAAGAAGAAGAAGAAGAAGAAGAAAGAACAACAAAAAGAAAAGGAAAAAAGATATTGTCCAGTTAGTATTTATCTAAGTCCTTGAAGTAATTCTTTTTATAACGAATTCGTGTACATATATATATATATATATATATATATATATATATATATATATGAGCTAACTTAAAGTTTGATTCTCGTTGAAATTGTTTCTCAGTCCTGTTTCTTAGTTGGATCTCAGTTTCTCAGTTTCTCAGTCGAAATTTTCATCTGGTTAAATTCTCAACCATCCCATTTTCGATTTCCGTCAAGCTTCGGTCTTACAAAGTTAAAAATATTCGTGGTTCTATTTGAAACTTGTAAATTCTACGAGATACGAGACATCCTGCATTACATAAGTTCGAATGAAGGAAAAATATTTCGTATATATTCGAATCATCTAAACCACGAAAGTACGAATATATCAATAATTTAAAAAAAAAAAAAATTTTCCAGAGTCGAATATATGTTTGATACGTTGAAAATAATATTTCTAAAATATGACGAATTTTGATATACAATATTTCTTCTTCTACTTTTTTTTTTTTTTTTTTTTTTGATATTTTTAAACAAATATAATACTTAAGATAAATTTTCATTCATCAGAAAGATATATATGTATACACATATTAGATTCATTGAAGTATCATATCGTATAAAATATATAAAATATTAAAGGACTTTGACGTATGTATATGTACTTTGACATTTTGAAATATACGATACTTCGTGTTAGATTCATATTCAACACTATATATCACAGATTTCTTTAAAATCACCTATAATATATTTTTCTTTGAAAAATTTATTTCTACTATATCACAAAAAAGAAAAACTTATTGACATATTATTCATACTTTTCGATTTTTAAATCAAGTATAATATATAGGTGTGTACGTATATGTAAATCTAAAAGGATTAGACATTTTTAAATATTTTCTTTTTTCCTTTTTTTTTCCTTTCTTAAATCGATAATTGCAATTAATTTACATTGATGAAAAATATTTGGATTACAAAATTGTCGACGAGAACGAATTCGAATAGTAATCGTTGAAAGTAATATTTAATAAAATTATTGCGTTAAAAATAATATTTCGAAATAACGAGGACAATTATATCATAAATGAAAATATTAATAAAGTGATAAAGTAAGAAATATAAATTAATTAAATATCATACGAGACAGAAGTTGATGTAGCCGTGATCGATCGATTGATGTGTGATAATAGAAAATATACTTTTTAGCAGTGTATATATACGTATATATATGTATTATATATATACACACACACACACACATATATATATACATATATATAATTGTCCGATTGCAATAAATTGCAGTCGTCAGTCTCGAATCACAATATCAATTGGTTCTTTAGATATTGGATCAAGTTGAACGATCCATTTTTTTTTCTTTTTTCTATTTCTTTTTTTTTTTTTTTTTCTTTTACCTGCACGTACATTTTTTTCAAAATCTCGCCCATTCTCTGGCTTACACGTTGCAACAATTATACAAAGTTGTGTATATATATGCATGTATGTGTGTGTGTGTGTGTGTGTGTGTGTGTGCGTATTTGTGTATGTGACCGTAATCTGTCAATATCCAGGGGGAATAGTTTCCATGTACACATATACATGTACTATGTATCATGATCATTATAATTGATTCAAGCAATTTCACGAGCAACGTATTCCGTAAATGTCTGATTGAACATACCGATTTGACATTATTGGTTTTAATAAATTCATTCTCGTTTGATTGGCTAAATGAAAGAAATAATATGAATGTTTTACTACTCCATATAATTAATAACGGTACTAATGTATTTTGATTTTTTTCAACGATATAAATAAAATTCTCTGGTTATAGAAAATTTTCCATTAAAGTGTTAGAAAATTTGTCAGAAGTCTTTCGAT